ATCTATTTATAAAAAATCATATACAAAAAAAATTAGTAATATTATAACATGTGAAAATGATAATATTTAATAAGCTATCCTCTACATATTATAATCTATATATATATATGTTTAAAAAATTGAATATATATATATATATATATATATGTATAAATTAACTATATATCCAATTTTATAAATATATTATATTTAATGTAATTAAAATGTTCAAAAAATAATGTAAAATATTAATTACATTGATATAATAATTCAAGTATGATTTTTAAATAATTTTAATTACATATTATTTATCTATAAAATTATTAAATAAATGATAAATGATAAAAAATTTATTATATTTACCTGTTGCAAAAGTTTTTGAGGTGAAGCAGTTTGAATAAATGAAGATATATAGACATTTACAAATGTTGCCATTAAATACTGACAATCAAATCTATCCATTATTCCTCCATGACCAGGAATAACATCTCCAAAGTCCTTTAATTATATAAAATAATATTATTAAATTTTTTATTGTGGATAATAATTTAGTTACCTTAATTTTAAATGCTCTCTTAAAACCACTAGCAAAGAAGCCTCCAAATGGTCCGATTACAGAACTAAATACTGACATTGATAATGAATGAAGTAAAAATGGATACAAAGTTATAGTCGATTTTCCACTAAACTGTACAAAAAATTATTAATTTTTACATATTTATATTATATTATTTCAAGATTATTATTTGATTAATATATTACCATTTTAAATATAACTTGTAAACTATTAGGCAAAGTATATTCTTGAGGTTGAAATAAAGTAGATGGTTCACAATCCATAGTCATTCGTCCCAAAGTTTCACTATATTCAATAGGACAAACAAAGTAACGATACTGACACATAATATATGAAATCTGAAATATATTTTATATAGATATTTATGTTTAAAAAATTGAATAATATATAATGTTTAATTTAAAAAAATTAATAAATTTACCAATAAGCCAAGCAAAACTGTTGAAATACCACCACCTATGAAACCTTCCCAAGTTTTTTTTGGTGATAATTTTATTAACGGTGTTTTACCAAAAAAGAAACCAAACATATATGCCATTACATCATTTATCACTATCATACTAACTGGAACAATGAACCTGTATCAGATAAATATTTAATTACATTAAATATTATCATAAAATAAATAAGTTATGAAAAAAATATTAATTTATATAAAAATTTACCATATCAAGCCTTCAAAAATATTTTTAATTATAAGATAACTTTGTGTCACAACAATAAGTAGAGCAACATGAGTCCAAGCAAATAGAGAAAATTGTTTCATATAATATTTTTTTACAAGTGACAGTACAAACCATACAAAACCAACAATGTACAGACAAAATGAAATAAAACGATGATATGTAACAAGTACACGTAGATATTCCTATAAATAAAAAAAATATTATTAATTTTCAATTTAAATATGAAGAAATATAGAATTAATTTTATACATATATATCAGATTATAAATATTACATACAAATATAATAAATAATAAATAATAAAGTAAAATTTATGTGTGTCTGTGTATATTATATATATTATTTATATATATTATTATATATATAATTTAATTAAAATTATATATATATATATATTCGGATACACATAAACTTTATTTTATTATTTATTATATTGTATTTGTAAATAATATTTATAATCTGAAATAACATTAGTTTGATACAAATTTTTTGCATAATTAATTTAACATTAAAACAAATGGGAAACCTTATAAAAGAGAATTAGAAACCATATAAAAGATATACAATACTTTAAGAAGCTTTATTTATTGATTTCATATCAATAAATAAATTAATAATGTATATATAATTTATGTACATATAATTTTTAATTAAATTTAATTATATCCTGATATAATAAATGATATAATAAAATATATCTTAATATTAATTACAAAACATTAATCAAAAATATTATATCAATTAATTAATTTTATTATACATCAAAATTATTTAAACTTACTGTACGATTAATTACTACAGCAAAATAATCCATTAAATTTTCTCCATAAAAGAAGTAATTGGAAGTAATCAGAAAATACCACGATAAAGATCTGAACCATGGTAAACCATGAATTCTATAAACTGCATATCCAATATTAATGATTTCTTGGAAACACTTTACTTGTACAATCAATGTCTGAAAAAAATATTTCATAAAACAAACCAAGAAAAATTACTTTTATAATTAAATATATATATTTATAATATTAATATGTAAAACTTACTGTAGCCATCAAAGCTAATGGTCCAATATAAATGATACCACAAAAACCAGCAATCATAAACAAGGTAAAAATACTTCTAATTACCCAATTCTTCCAGCTATAAAAATTATTTTTAATACTTATTATTAGTTTATTTTTTAATATTAGTTTATTATTAGTTTATTTTTAATACTTGTTATATTTTTTTATAAGTATTATTTTCAAAAATTATACCGATCAGATAAGCCTGAAAGTATTGAATCTAAAATATGTGGAGTATGATCTGTTCCTTGTGGTAAAGTTTTAGCCAATTCTTCAACTTCTAGCTTTGCATCATCTTCAGATTCCACATCTTCTTTCTATAATGTATAATCCAAACTACTTGTTAATAATTATGTAAAAATAATTAATTGGAAAAGATCTATATTATATTATTTCAATAAGTTCTTGAATTCAATAAAAAATTATAATTATTTATAATTCCATGAGAAGAATAATATTTTAAGTCATTAAAAAAAAATTAATATAAATTTTTTTATAGTTATTAATATTTATAGAGTTTTAAATTAATAAAATTAAAAATCACTATATTTTTTAAAATACATATATTTACTTTTATAATTATATAATCAGAATATAATATAAAAACATAATTAGTATATATAAAAAGTTTCATATATATTAAGAGATTAATATATGTGTAATAACAGAAATCCAAGAAATAATTATATATAAAACACTTATAAATATATTGTAAATATAATAGTAATATGGTAATTTAATTTAATCATATATGTAATGATTTAATATTAATAGCTGTCATTCATTAATTTATTATATATTTATAAATAATTTATATAATGACTGACAATTATTATATATATATATATACACATATATATATATATATATATATATATGTACATATACATATAATAAT